GGTCCCAGCAGCTGCAAAAACACCAGCCTGGCTTGGTCTCCTCCCTCCCCCAGCTGTTCTCTTGCCTGCTGGGCTCCCTCTGCCTTTATACCTGGCCTCTGCTGGGAGCATGCCCAGCAGGGCCGGAAGGGCGGGGCCCTCTCAGCCAGCTGGGCCTGGGCTACTCCCAGCCCTGCAGTGCGGGGCCTGTTCGCCCCGTCACAGGGACTGACACTTTTCTCCCACCCAATACACATTTTGTAAACCCCCGTGACTCCACTGGTGTCTGAGAGAGAAGAACCAAGCCCCAGGATCCCAAAGACACCTGAAAGCTTTTGTCTCAGTGAGTAGCTCAATGTTCAATGTAAACGCTGATATGTAAACACAACGACCTGGGGAAGGTGGGTTACAAGCTGTGGTTTGCAAGGATGTAGATTTTACTAATATTTAATTATAATTGTTTTTCTGCAACTCAGTGGGCACAGTGGGTGACAAATCAATGTAATTGGTCTTTGACCATGGCAAAGCTTACTTGAGGTTATCTTTATCATGCTGTGGAATTGTCTGAGTGAACACCAGCCTGGTGTGGAGCTCATGGCCTCTGTAGGTGTGTACTGCATGGATGGTCATGATGATGTAAAGGGAGGTAGGGGACTGTCCATTGGTGGATAGGCCTGGTACTGGGCTAGTCAGCACAGTGTAGAGAAGGTGCTGTCCAAATTCCCTGGGAACTGAGTGACCACTGTGGCTGGCGTGTACTTCATAGGCACTTTAGGAGAAATTGGGACCTTCTGTGTCCAAGGACATGCCAAGGGTCCTCTGATCACCCAGTGAGAATATTAATCTACTGCCCCACATGTATTCTTTCAGGCGTTACTAGAGCAAAAATTCAAGGAAGGGGGGAAATGTCAGGAAAACAAAGCCTCCCTTTGAAGAGCAGCCCTACTGTGAAAAGTAACTGTGTCAAACAGCCCCATCTTTATTGACCCTTGGTGAATCCAGAGAAAAGGTGCTTGCTTGCTTTACAGGTAAAACAACTGCCTCACAAACTCAGCTTAGGATCTGAGAGTCAAGCTGAGCTTTTCCTTCTCACCCATCAGAAGCAGTAATTAGTATTCTACAGACAGGCTGTGTCTACACTGGGCCACTTATTCCAGAAAAGCAGCTGCTTTTCCAGAATAACTTGCCAGCTGTCTACACTGGCCACTTGCTTTTCCGGAAAAGCAATGACAATCTACTGTAAAATTGTCAGTGTTTTTCCAGAAAAACTATGCTGCTCCCGTTCGGGCAAAAGTCCTTTTCCGGAAAAACTATTCCGGAAAAGGGCCAGTGTAGACAGCACAGTAGTCTTTTCCGCAAAAAAGCCCTGATCACAAAAATGACGATCGGGGCTTTTTTCCGGAAAAGCGCGTCTACATTGGCCACGGACGCTTTTCTGGAAAAAGTGCTTTTCCGGAAAAGCATCCTCCCAATGTAGACGTGCTTTTTCCGGAAATACTTATAACAGAAAACTGTTCCGTTTTAATCATTTCCGGAAAAGGGTGCCAGTGTAGACCTAGCCGTAAATTCTACCCTCAGTGACTCCTGAGGAACCCAAGTGTAGTCAATAGGGAGGACACGTGTACATACGGACAGAATTTGGCCATGCAGTTAGAGCGTAGAGCAGCTAGCAATGGTGGCAACAGGCACAAGGAGGGAGAGACTCCTGCTCCCTCTCCTGGAGCTGTGATGGCTCAGCAGCCTGAACAGGAATAAAGACCAGTGCCATTACAATAAGCAGATTGACCTCTGGATATACTCCAGGAGCAGATTTGCTGAATTAAAGGGTGCTATTTTTTCAGTCACTTTTCAAAGAAAAGGAAGAATCCCAAGCCTTGTTACAGGCTGGGGACCGACTGGCTAAGTAGCAGTTCAGCAGAAAAGGACCTGGCGGTTAAAGTGGATGAGAAGCTGGATATGAATCAGCAGTGTGTCCTTGTGGCCAAGAAGGCTAATGGCATATTAGGATGCATTAAGAGGAGCATTTCCAGCAGCTCTAGAGAAGTGATTATTCCCCTTTATTTGGCACTGGTGAGACCATATCTGGAATATTGCATCCAGTTCTGGCCCCCTCACTACAGAAAGGATGTGGACCCATTGGAGAGGGTCCAGCAGAGGACAACCAAAATGATTAGGGGGCTGGAGCACGTGACCGAGGAGAGGCTGAGGGATTTGGGCTTATTTAGTCTGAAGAAGAGAAGAGTGAGGGGGGATTTGATAGCAGCCTTCAACTTCTGAAGAGGGGGGTCCAAAGAGGATGGAGAAAGGCTGTTCACAGTAGTGACGGATGACAGAACAAGGAGCAACAGTCTCAAGTTGCACAGGAGGGTGGTGAGCACTGGAATGGATTACTTAGGGAGGTGGTGGAATCTTTTCAAGAGATTTTTAAGTCTTGGCTTGACAAATCCCTGGCTGGGATGGTTTTGTCGGGGTTGGTCCTGCTTTGAGCATGGGGCTGGACTTGATGACTTCCTGAGGTCTCTTCCAGCCCTAGGATTCCATGAAAGCAAAACCACATTCAAGTGACTATACAGCTGAGGAGAGGTGCTTGTAGGAGACCCCAAGCAGCAGCACTACAAAAGTCTCTCAAATAGCATCTTTCACTTCTGCCATCTGTAGCACAGGTGGGCAAAATACAGCCTACGGGCTGCATTTGGCCCTTCAGCCTTTCTAATATGGCCATCTAGCTCCCGCTACAGAGTGAGGTCTAGGGCTTGCCCTGCTCTGCACACTTCCCAGAAGCAGCAACATGCTGCCTCTCTGGCTTCTATGCACAGGGACAGCCAGAGGGCTCCGTGCGCTGCCCTCACCCCCAGCACTGTCCAGGCAAGGCTAATTGGCTGGGAACTGTGACCAATGGGAGCTGTAGGGGTGGCACCTACAGACAGGGGGCATGTGTGTGCCTAGCCACACCTCCTTATAGGAGCTGACCTGTTACCAAAACCGGCAAGCAAGGGGTAAAGGGAAGAGTTCAGGCCAAGCCTTGCATGTGCCAAAGCCCTATACAGAGCAGGCATGGGCAAGCTTCTCCGCCCCTCAGCTTCCTTCCTACCACTCCAGAGCTTAGCTATTTCCAGCTTGTGTGCACCCTAATGGTGCAGGCCGGGGTGCTTAGAACCTGTTTACATGCTGCCTCTCTCCTAGGTTCTCCCCTCAGGGTGTGCAGGGCTGCTCTGTACCCTAGCTACTCTTCCCCTCTTGAGCCACCTCTCTGGCCAGGTTTGCTGAAGCCCCTGCAGCCAGGCTCTTGGGCCGGTGCTCAGTGCATCCTTAGGGCTTATTTCTTTCCTGCTGGCACTGTCACCAGAGCTTAGGAGGGGACTGAGTTATGTCTGTGGCTAACTGCAGTTTGGAGGTGTTAGCTGCATTTTGATACTGTATGGGCAAGAAAGGGACAAGCTGTTTGCAGCCGTAAGAGAGCGGGGAAGGGAGGTGGTGGCAGGAAGGAAGGGATGACCTCTGGAAAAACATGGGCCAGGTCATCCCCACTCAGACCCTTCTGCAGATGGAAGTGGCTCCTATCCCTTCTCTCCTATACAGTGCTGAAAGGCTGCTATTTGTCATATGCTGGTTTGAACCCCAACAGAAATCTAGGAAGGAGGAAGAGAGGTCAGATCATTAAGTCATCCCCATTCCCATGTGAGAGAGAGGCACGGGACTATGTGTGTGTGTGATTTCTCCCCTTGGAACCTTAAAGAAGGTAAATACAAACTCCAGCCATGCAGTATTTCTTTTTGACAGGAACTCAGTCAACTTGATGTTAGTTTGAATGTTTGTGCTGCAGAATTCTGATTGTAATTGAACTCGCTTGAATATGAGTAATTTTACCAGGTGTCATGTATTCAGCACAGGGAAATATGGTTAACTTACTCAAATCCTGTTTCCACCCTAGTCCTTTCTTTGTGTTTCTTAACTTTACCTACACTTGTTATTCTTCAGTGGTATGGACTACATACACTCCCCAGACAATATTTCCCAGTGGGAAAAAGTATTTACCAGACTCCTTAATATTTGGTGGCAATGGCAGTAGTACGGAGATGTAGATTATACTAGCTCACTGAATACTTAGCAGAAGGGAAGAGAGATGCCTGTTCACACCCTTCCCTTCATTAATGTGCAAGTGGGACCAAATGTTTCTCCTATTCCATTTTGACACCTATTAATCACTAAATTTAAATCTACCAATCAGAGCACAGGGCTTCCCCCTGATTCCCGCCAATCAGAAGGGAGCATGTTCCAACGTTCTAAACCCCTTGCTCCTACACAATGCGGAATCCTCATATTCAAAGAGACGCAGTGAGGCCAGGCCTTTGGGAGGGGTCGTTATAGTCTCAGCCCCAGGGAGAAGGATGGGGCAGAATAACTCCACCGAGCTACCAAACCCACTAAAAACAAGTGCTGCCCCCAGCTCACCCCAGCAGGTGGGAATTTCCATGGGAAACAGTGGCTGGCAGAGGCTGTGCTGGGAACCAATTCTCATGCCCTCAAGAGAGGAAGAGATCCCTGTGGGAAAGTATTGGGGTCTCACAAGGGAGAGATACATTTGTGCTGAGAGGGAGGGTAGGAGTCCCACCCAGTGGATTTAGGCCAAGTTACCTGTATGTATATTGGGGAAAGATCCCAATGGAGAGCACTGTGAATTAGGGCTGCGAACAACAGGCGCTGGGGTGGCTGGGACGCTCTGTGGGTGGTTTATTGGGACCTGTCAGAGGAAAGGTGCCAGTGTGGCAGCAGTGCAGGCAAAGTAGGAGTGGGGGTGGGGTTTCAAGCTAGAGACCCTGCATTGAGCTACGTTGAGCTTCAGAATTACATTTCAAAATTGCTCTTTCTCCCAGGAGTTGGATTCTTCCCAGGAAGAGCCCTCTGGCTCCCCTCAGACCTCAGCTTCCTCAGCCAGTGGAAGTACCATTCCCAGAAGCCCGCCCCAAAAACGCAGGCGCACGGCCAAGGGAGAGACTTCTCAGAGCCAGAAGGAGACCGGCATGTATCTGGGTGGTGACAGTGAGATGAGATTTCACATTCATCCAAGAGATGGGATTAAGATCTGCGACCACTTCCTGCTGGGGCACTGCACTCAGAGGGAAAGCTGCCCCCTCCACCACACCCGCTATCCCTACCATTGGCAGATAAGGCAGAGGGACAGCAAAGCTTGGCAGAGTGTCAGTGAGTCAGCGCAGCGGCACCTAGAGAAATTGTATTGTGACACTGGAAAAGAGCAGATTAAGTTTGTGGACAAGTGAGTGATGCAAAGCCAACTGCCAGTGCTGGAGTCTACCAGCAGGAGGAGCTGTAGCAAACAGTGCGAGAGGTTCTGGGGTGGGTAGCTCATGGTGTCTCAAGTCCCAGCCCCAAACCCAGCATAGGGAATTCCTCTCACATGTCCCTCTTTCATTCATTCAAGTCCCCTGTGTCCTACACGTGTGGGACTCCCCTCACTCTTATTGTGGAAAATTATTTACATCAGAAATAGACTCAAGAAACTAAGGTTACAGAAGGGGTCATTTGCATTAGAGGTGCAGATCCCAAATTGAGGACTCTGGGGTAGGCCACAGTGCTGGCTGCTAGGAGCTCCCACCCCACTGTTGTCCTGGCTTTGCCTTCCAGGAGGTACGATAGGGAAGGTGGCAGGAGCACTGGGTGCAGGTGGCACTCCTAGCTACTCCGGTCCTGGCCTCTCGTAGTAGGAGATAGTGAAGGAATTATTTACTGTTTCCTCCTCTTTCTCACAGGGACGGTGCTGTCGGGAGCATTTTTCTGCACTCTATGAAGCTGGTTTGCTTTGGACCCTACGACAAAGTGCGGCGGCTTTCCAACACCAGTGATCCGAAGGAGAACCCCCACTTCCCCACAGAGTGGGCAGCCTATTGGAACAGAAGTGGCAATTGGAAGAAGTATGAGGAGGTGAGGAAAAGGGAAAGGCAATCCAACCTACCTCCGGAATCTCGTACTATGCATTCCCCTAAAAATGCCTCACTGCAGCACACAAGGGAATTACATACAGTAGTTAAACCAAAAACAACAGCCGCAAGCGAGACACACTGAGGGGCTCAGGCAGAGGCGAGAAGGTGTGTGGGGTCAGTGGCACAGCGGGGGGGCCATGCTAGGGAGGCACCAATTTAGTCCCCCTCCACTCCCCTGTCATCGACTTGCCTGTTCCTCTTCTGCCTGCTGCCACCGGCTGGAGCCTCCTTCCCACCTCTCCTCCTCCAGCCTGACTCTTCTCCATCTCTGCCAGCGGGTTAGTGCATGCAGGGGCCTGGCCCCAAACTGGAGGGGGCAGGGGAAGACGCAGTACAAACTCCGCCCCTTCCTCCCAGGGTTGGGCTCAGTCATGTGCCAGGTTCGGGGCCCCGTCGCATGGCAGTGGGAGGGTGGGGTGCAATTTTTGCCTTTGTTCCAGGGCGCATAACACCCTTGCTACTCCACTGTGTGGGGGAAATGCTGAGAAAGGGGAAGGAGCCTTCATCAGTGGGAAGTGAAGGGGCTATTTCGGCCTTAGGGAAAACCAGGCTGAAAAGGATAACGGGTTCTTTAAAGAAATGAAAGTTTTGAAACCTGGTCCTAGGTCAGGCATGTGTAAAATATGATCTGCGGGCCAGATCCGACCCGCCAAGCCACTGGATCCGGCCTGCGAATGCTATAGGGAACCCCAAACAGGCTCCCTGCTTGCCTTGCCCCAACCAAATGCTACTCAGAAATGCAGCTGTGGGGCATTTTTTCTTTAAAAGCTGTGAGCCCGGAAAGGAGAGGGGAAGCTTTAGGAGCTGTTCCCATCCCCAGCACAATCCCACTGGCTGGTTTCTGGCCAGAAACTGGTCAACGGAGCTGCGTTGTTCAACAACAGGCAGCCATGAAGCACAAGAGGCCTCAGAGCACATGGCTGCAGCCTGTGCAGGGGGCAGGGCAGGCAGAAAGGCTGATTTAGGAACCACCGCTGGCTAGTAAGTCTCCTGGCAGAGCCTGCCTCTGGCACCCCAACCCCTTGTTTCCCCAACCCTCTGCCTCCCACTCCTACTCCCTACTCTACATACCCAAATCCTCTGCCCCTCTCCTGTACCCCAATTCCCTGCCCTAGGTCACAAGCCAATCCCCTGTACCCCAGTCCCTTGTCCCAGGTCACAAATGCCTCCTTCACCCAAACTCCCTCCCTTACCCCAAGCTCCCTTCTGCACCCAACCTCCATCCCAGACCCCGCATCTCCTCCATTACTACCATGGAAGAGTGCAGCCCCCGGCCACTTTCCAAATACTTAGAGTGGCCCTCAGCAAAAATTATTGCCCACTTCATCATAGTTAGTCAGGATTGAAGAGAAGCTGGATTTTGGCAGAGCTTTGCCTCTAGCTCCCCCGTGTGTCTAAAGAATCATTGATGAAGGTGGCAGCCTAAGGAGCCGTGTGTGTGGGTCCTTGGCCTTCCTCTTTGGAGCACTCTCACCGTACACCTCCCCTTCCTTTCCCTCTTTCTGTCTGTGATCAGCCCATCTCCCAAGGTCTCCTGGCTGCCTATGAGCAAGACAAGGACAGCTACTCCTTCGAACACCAGGGACACTTGTGTCTAAAGAATCATTGATGAAGGTGGCAGCCTAAGGAGCCGTGTGTGTGGGTCCTTGGCCTTCCTCTTTGGAGCACTCTCACCGTACACCTCCCCTTCCTTTCCCTCTTTCTGTCTGTGATCAGCCCATCTCCCAAGGTCTCCTGGCTGCCTATGAGCAAGACAAGGACAGCTACTCCTTCGAACACCAGGGACACTTCCTCACTGTGGATGTGAAGCGGCGTGTGCATCTGTCGTGTGCAACGTAATCGGGACAAGGGATATGTCCGCCTGGTCCAGCGCCGGCCTGCCTATCGCTCCCTGCTCAGCATGGTGCCACATCTGAGGTAAGTGATCCCCCCCAGCAACCATGTTTCTAACAGAACGCAAGCAGCATTCAGAGGAGATCAACTCTTGTCTCCCTATCTTCTCAGGACGCTCCCTAGAAGAACCTGGGGAACTGACATCCTTGGGGAGAATCCAAGGGATGGCTACTGTGGCTCCTACCCTGCAGCCTCGGTCCCAAAGCCCGCAGATGGGCAGGCTTTCCTGAAGATGGAGGTGGCACCAACAGAGGTTGCATACCACAGAGTTTGTGCACTCTTCCACCAGACTCTCTCAGAGGAAAAGACACTGGTGCTGGGGGTGTACCGAATTCGGAACGATGATCTCTGGGAAAAATATGCCAGGTACAAAGAGAAATGTTATGGGGGGGGGCGTGTCTGTGTGTGGAGAGTGCTGAGGAGGGAATGTTGGCACTAGTGCCTGCACTTGTGGAGCTCTCTGTAAGTGTAAACTTAATGCCAGTGCCGAGGAGTGCAGAACTCATAGTGCTGGAAGCCTATAAGTGTGAGCCCTGGAGCTAGTCCTCTAAGGTCTGCACTTATAGGAGTATGGCTGGAGTGAGTGTTCTAGGGGATGAATATTAGGGCTTGTTTCCTCCAATGGGGTTTTAAGCACACCAGTGTGAGCATGACTGCTTCTTGTCTGACTGTTCCCTGTGCTGTTGGGTAGGTAGCTACAGCTACACTGGAGTTTGCATATTTGTATGCATCCTCAGGAACGGGTGCGTGGATCCTAGTGCACTGGGTTGCATGTATTTGTTTGCAGTGCACAGATGTGAGTCTGTGTGCTGTGATGGGTAGAGCCTAATGTATTCAAATTACTTTGAATGAACTAGTGTGTCATTATTGGGGCTGGGGGAAAACTAACTCCTCCCTAACTCCTGGCAATTCATACTTTTGGCGCTTATCTATTGAGTAAGTGGAGATGGAGGCAGGGTGGGTGGAGCTGGCCTCTAAGTTTCCCCAAATATCCTCACTGTGCAGGAACTAACCCTGCTTTTCCCCCTGGCATCTCATTCAGACAGAAGGCTGCCATGTCCCAGGCATGCTCACTGCAGGAGAAACACCAGCTGGAGAAGCACCTCTTCTATGGGAGCGCTGCTGACTTCCTGGAGCCCATCTGCCAGAAGAACTTTGACCCCAGCTTCTCAAGGCTGCAAGCCCCCATCTACGGCAAGGGCTGCTACTTCTCCAAGAGTGCCCTCTATTCACACCGCCATGGCCTGGCGTGCAAGGCTGGGCTACGCTACATGTTCCTGGCCAAGGTGCTAGTGGGCAAGACTGCTGTGGGGAATAAACTTTTCCGGCGCCCCCTGCCTGTGGTGCCTGGTGGGCAGCTCTGTAACTCCCGGGTCAACAGCAAAAGCAATACCCAAGTGTATGTGGTCTCCGACAACTGCCAGTGCTACCCCTACTTCCTTATCAAATACAAGATGCTATCTGACCCTGTGGCAGTGGATGGCTGATGGTGCCAGGGGAAGGAGCTGCTCATTACAAAAGATTTGCTGAAGCTGCTTTTCTGTTCAAGCGCCACTTCCCCAGGTGGAGATAGGGGTCACTTTTTGTTGTCACTTACAGCCGTCCTGTGCTACTTGCTCTGTAAAAGCCCCTTGTGCATCCAGTCTTAGCCACAGCTGAGCCTCCCAGTGTATGGGGAAAACAAGGCCATGTAGGTTCAAAAACACTCTAGTTTCTGCCCCACCTCATCCTATTCCATCTCCCCAAATGTCCCCATTCTGTGGTCAGCTTCACCCTGTCATGTTCACTGCCTGTCCAAATGCAAACATCCCTGCAGGCTGTGCTGTCAGATACTGCTCCTGGCTCTGAATGAGAAGCTGCTCCATTACACCAAACAAGTCATCACCCTCCATGACCTCCCATTGCATTTGTGGACTATAATATATGATTCACAAAAAAAAATGCCTCTTTGTTCATGGCTCCTCTTCTCTTCCACCTTCTAATGGAGCCTTCTGCCCAGGAGTAATTGGTTTGTCAAAAACTGTTTACATGGGGACTTGCTGTGGTGGATGCTAAGTTTTCTAGTAATAATTTAGTATTCTAACTAATACTGTTAGAATACTCCCCCTGAATCAGAGCACTCTGGTGTGTTTGTAATTATTTAACTTATGTTATACAGAGGCAGGGTGGCTGTGTGCATCTGCTATGTCTAGTCTATTGCATGAAAGTCCCCAGTGTCAAGGGTCAGGGGATGGCTATTTAGGCTTTGCTCCCAATGAGAGTATGTCTCCTGCCTCTGAAAGAAACCCCTGTGATCCTGTTTTTGGACCTAAGAACTGGTCAGTTGTTGGTGAGTTAATATGTCCCAATGCCTATGAACCTGCAGATTGTTCATGTATTCATATAAGCAATAATTGTTTGATTTTGCATTGTGTTGTTAGCATAATTACTGTTACTTTGTTTGCTGAATTGCTTTGCCTTCCTAATTTGAGATCACTTGCATTAATTACTTTCAATTATTTTTCTTGTGTTTAAAATTAAAGAAATAAGAATGTTGTTTACTACACCACATCCATGTGACTTAGATGGAGGGAGGGATAGCTCAGTGGTTTGAGCAGTGCCCTGCTAAAGAGAGGGTTGTGAGTTCAGTCCTTGTGATAGGCCATTTAGGGATTTGGGGCAAAAAATTGGCAGACATGGTACTTGAGCCTACTGTGAAAGCAGCAGATTGGACTTGATGACCTTTCAAGGTTCCTTCCAGCTCTAGGAGATAGGCAATCTCCATTAATCAATGATCTTGGTTAATTAGACCATTTATTTAACATGGTTAAACACCCCAGCAATCACAATTAATGTAGTTTAAGAAGTTACTCTGTATATAATTATATAAATGATTGGAAGGAACCTCAAGAAGTCATCTAGTCCAGCCCAGCATGACCCACACCACACCACACCACACACCTGCATTTTCAAAGGTGCAGTCACCCGAGATGTTAAGCAGGTGACACCCTTTTTTTAAAAAGGCCTGATTTTCACAGAGCAATGGCTCATCACTTTTGGAAAATTGGCAACCTCTTAAAGTTTCAAGTCACATAACTAAAAACTAGTACACTCAGAGCATGTCTACACTACACAGTTTTGTCCACAAAAGTCAGCTTTCATCAACAAAACAATGGAGATGTACACCCTGAAATGCTTATCTCACTGATGTAACTCTCTTGCTATGCTGATATAAGCAGCAGGTTTAAAACAAAAGGAAGTTTTTCTTCACTCAACGCACAGTCAACCTGTGGAACTCCTTGTCAGAGGATGTGGTGAAGGCTAGGACTTTAACAGGATTCAAAAAAGAGCTAGATAGATTCATGGAGGTTAGGTCCATCAATGGCAATTAGCCAGGATGGGTAGGAATGGGGTCCCTAGCTTCTGTCTGTCTGGAAATGGGTGACAAGAGAAGGATCAAGTGAGGATTACCTCTTGTATTCCCTCCCTCTGGGGCATATGGCATTGCCCACTGTCAGCAGACAGGATACTGGGTTAGATGTACCTTTGATCTGACCCAGTTTGTCCGTTCTTATGTTTTAAAATAATGAAACCACCTTTATAAGATATAGAGCTTTTTGTGACATAGAGTAATGCAGCATTAGTGTAGACACTGCTTTGCTTATGTCACCCTAAAGCAGTGGTTCCCAACCTTTTCAATCTATCAAAATTTCAGGACTCACCCAAACAATCCATTTTTCTAACAGCCCAGCTAAACCCTTCCCTCCACTCTTAATAGCTTTTGAACATTTAGAGCAGGGTGACTTATTCAAAAAAGTGAAAAAAATGGTAAAAAGTGACTGACCCGTTGATAAACCAACTCCAGAGTTGCAGCTTGTCAGCTTCAGTGTGGGCTGAGGGATGTGCAGACTGAAGAGCATGGAGCTTCTCAGATACCATTGGCTGCTGTTTGCCCAGGCTGCTTCCTCAGCTCCTGGCCCCTCTGTCCTCTCCCGGGCTTTCATGGCCAAAGGGAGTTCTGGAGCTGCCAACTCCTCAAGGGCAAAACTTTGGGAGGGTAGGGGGCAAGGGCGGAACTTGGGGAGCTCAGGGCAGCAGCTGTGGGCACCGGGTCATGGCTTGAGGGGAAAGTGCTTGCATCCTCTGTATGCCTCTCACACACCAGCCAGGTGTGAGAGGTATGCACAGCATGCAAGCACTTTCCCCATGCTCCGTTAGCTTCCAGAGAACGAGGTCAAAAGCACGTCACCACCTGGCATGCACTGCTATTGCTTCTCCCCTCCCCTGCACTCCAGAAAAGGGGAGGCGGGGAGGTGGAGAAAAGAAAAAGAAAAGTAAGGATCAATGGGCCTGATCTTTACTTTTAAAAACTTTCCGCAGACCCCAGGTTGGGAACCGCTGCTCTAAGGCATCACCAAAAAGAGTCCCATGATGCCCATTGTGACTGCTCTAGTTACCAGTTTGAACTAAGCTAGCTGGAAGCCAGGTACACAAGCATGTGTCTCTCCCTCTTTAAAGGCCTGGCAATTTTTGAAATTCTGCTTCCCGTTTACTTCTTTACTTTTAAAAACTTTCCGCAGACCCCAGGTTGGGAACCGCTGCTCTAAGGCATCACCAAAAAGAGTCCCATGATGCCCATTGTGACTGCTCTAGTTACCAGTTTGAACTAAGCTAGCTGGAAGCCAGGTACACAAGCATGTGTCTCTCCCTCTTTAAAGGCCTGGCAATTTTTGAAATTCTGCTTCCCGTTTACTTGGGCTAGAGAGCTTACATTGCAACTGCTCTGCTGCCTGGCAAAACCCAAGTTGTTGGAACTTCTGAGTCTACCGGGAGAGGAGGCTGTGCAGTCACAGCCAAAGGAACTTGGAAACCTATTGGCAGATTGCTCATGGCATGGTGGAGAAGGGCGCAGAACGGACAGACAGGGTCATCCTAAGATCAAGAAGCTGAGGCAGTTGTACCTGAAGGCCAGAGAGGTCAATCATCAGTCTGGTGCATCACAGAAGACATGCTACTTCCACAAGGAACTACACACCATCCTCAATGGCAGCCTCCCATCCATTGCTAAGAGCCCCCTGGGGGGCTGGAGGCCGCAGCTAGCATGAACCTTAAGGGAGACAAGGAAGTGGAGTTGGATGAGGATGGGGAATGGGTGACAGGAGCATCCAGGGGCATGGAAAGCCAGGACCTCTTTAATGCTGGAGGGATTTAGTCAGTCGCAGCACTCTGGGATACCCGACGCAGGAGAGGGGACTCTGCTAAGGACTCATTGTGCTTTGATATTGCAGGGAGATATGAGCACGAGCTCAGTTTTTTGTTTTTTTGGTCCCAGGAGAGGTGAAGGTAGCCAACACTAGCACAGTATGCACCTGTTTCTCATTCCCCTCTGCAACTAAGCAGCTGGGACCCTGTGGAAGTGTGTTGATGTGCGCTGGGATTTCCTGGGAACCTTTAGAGAGAGCTCTAGGACTTTCCTGGAGTTACTCTGCAAACTTCTGCTGAAGGTTCCTTGGATAGGCTGCCTTGTTTCTTCCTCCATGGTAGAAGACTTTGCCAGGCCTTTTGGCAATTCCTTCTGTAGGGACCAAAGCAGCACCCAGGCAAGCAGCATACAGACTTGGTCTGTAGCCGCTCCACACATGTAGGAGTTGCATCACTGCATTTTCAGTTACCCTCGGGAGTGAGATACCAGCTGCTATCACCACTGCCTGTGGAAAAGGTGCCTCTTGTCATTCCGTGTTCTGAGCCCAGGCGCCCAGCTCCCCGCAGCCTGCCTGGCACTCCGCTGGCCCTTAGGCCGGGGCAGCAGGGCAAAGTAGAAGGTAAATGAATCACTGGTGAAAGGTAAATGAATCTTGGCAGTTCCAGGTGACTTTGAACTCAGCCTGCGGATCAAATGTTCATTGATCCAATCACAGACAAACCCAATCACGGCCCAGGGGACGCCCTCCCAACCCGCTTTTCTAGTAAGTTGTGCAGGTCGATACATCAAGCAATGGAGAGATTTAAAAATGCCAGAAAATCCTGTCAGTGACTAATCACAACCCACTTCGAACCGCCCTTGTCTTGCCTGGCCAGAGCTGGGCAGAGGGCGGGGCTGCCTTTCTCACCTCCTTGAAAGGAATGGGAGGCAGAGTTAACACGGCATTGGGGGAGACAAACCGTCCCCTGTCCAGCTGCTGTTTAAAGTAGGACAATGTCTGAGGAAGCCCCGTTTGCAAAGTGGAGGCTGAAACGCTCCCTGTATTTCATAAGGGAAACCGAGACGCTGCAGAATCAGAAGGGTTGCAGCTGCACAAACACCGAGCAGAAAGGATCGATGGGTTTTTTTCCTTTGCTGCAGTCAGCTGCGCATCCTGGAGTCCTTTTTCCAGCGGAAGAAATACCCCAACCTGCCTGAGGCTGAAATGCTGTCGGGGATGAAGGGAATCACTTACCCACAGGTACGTCCAGCCCGCACTCTCGGGCTCTGCTTTCCTCTCTCTGCGGCAGGGACAGTTTGCACGTGGGGTTCCTCCAGCCAGGGCACAGTGCAGAGCAGAGGCCGAGGCGCATCCTGGAGTCCTTTTTCCAGCGGAAGAAATACCCCAACCTGCCTGAGGCTGAAATGCTGTCGGGGATGAAGGGAATCACTTACCCACAGGTACGTCCAGCCCGCACTCTCGGGCTCTGCTTTCCTCTCTCTGCGGCAGGGACAGTTTGCACGTGGGGTTCCTCCAGCCAGGGCACAGTGCAGAGCAGAGGCCGAGCGCGGGGGCCGTGCTGGGCTCTCAGGGAGGTGCAGACGCTGGGGCTGGGCGGACAGTCACTGGGACCTGGAGGGAGCAGGGGAAAAGGTCTGGCGGGACAGAGGATATTTCATGCGCGGGGACAGCGGCGAGGGATCCTTCCTTCTGTGCTGGCCTCCCGTTACCCATCCAGGGTCATCGCCATCTGCAGTGGTACCCGGGCCTCTGCCCTTCTTCCCAGGGCCTGGGGGCGGGCGGGAACTGGGCCCTTCACAGCCCCCCAGGAGGAGGGCAGAAGGGACGGACATCGCGGGGTCCCTGAGGTTCCTTCTCCTTCAGCCCCTCTTCTCCCCCCTTCCAGATCCGCGTCTGGTTCCAGAACAGGCGAGGGAAGCACCGGAGACTTTACGCTGGAGACAGGACCCCTGGGAGCAGCCTCTCCGCCCTGCAGGTGAGACCCCCCCCCCACACTCCCGCGCACC